GGGTGTGTGGCTGAGTTCAGCTTTACTGGAACCGTTGCTTGTGTGAGTGGCAGACAGGCACGGTGGGGACAGCGTGGGCAACGGGGCTGGAGGACCCAGGCTCGAGTCTCAGCTCTGCCGCCAGCTTCTTGTGTGGCCTTAGCCAGGTGTCCTGGCGTCTCTGTGCCTCAGTTTCTCACTTTGTAAATGGTGCCGAGTTCCCGAGAGCACCTGATACTCGGTGAGCACCCGGCAGGTGTTGGCTCTGGTTACGGCTGTCGCTCTAGGAAGTGTGTCCGTGGAGGGGGAGGTGGTAAGGCTCCCGTCCCAGTGAAGCTTTGAGAAAGATACGGGACGGAGGGAACTACATACAATTGGCATGAATCCTACCTTTGCCAGTTGCAAATTTTTATGATTAGGGGCAAGTTACTTAACTGTTCTGAGCCTTATTTTTTCTAATCTATAGATTTGGGCTCACGTTTAGACCTATAGGCTTGGTGTGAGGATGTCATGAAATTGGGCTTGTTGTATATATATATATATTGTTTAAGTTTTATTTTATTTATTTGAGAGAGACAGAGACCGTGCAAGTGGGGGAGGGGCAGAGAGAGAGGGCGACACAGAATCCGAAGCAGGCTCCAGTCTCCGGGCTGTCGGCACAGAGCCCGACGCGGGGCTCGAACTCACGGACTTCGAGATCGTGACCCGAGCCGAAGTCGGACGTTTAACCGACTGAGCCACCCAGGCGTCCCTCGTGCTTGTCATATTTAGCACAAGGTGGACCCAATAAGCAGTCACTGGTTTGCTCCGGTGGGCCCAGTGTGGCCTGGATGTGTCTCCCAGCCTCAGTAGCCAACTCAATGCCTTTGGAATTCCAGTGCCCAGTGTCTGGAACATCTGAAAAAAAAAAAAAAATATACCAACTCACTAACAACTGATGGAAACAGATGCTTTGGCAGTGTTCTGTGAGCCGAGGTTACTCGAGGAGAGTCGCACGGTTTGACTATTGGACGTGTACCGATCTCGCAGTTTGACGGAGAGAGAGGCCGTCGTTGGTTCAAGCCCGGGACTGGGGTGCTGATCCGGGTGAGGCTGTTTTCCAGGCTGACCCTGAAGCCCATCCACGCTCCTTGGATCCCGAAGGGTGGAACAATGATATCACCCCAACAGACCCCCTGGCCCGGCTCCCAGCGTGTCCGCTGCTGCGTGGCCTGGAGACCAGATGCGTGCAAAAATGTCTGCCTCTCCAGGCCCCAGCAGGGGTTGAGGATGTCACCTGGGCCACAGGACCCTGCACGGAGATCCTGTTCTGTGTTCTGTGTAAGGGTGCCCCGCCCAGGCTCTCCGCCACGACCTTTCAGCAACGCTGCTAGGTAGGTGCGGTTATTCACCCGCTTTACAGGTGGGGAAACTGAGGCCCGGAAAGGTAAACGCACGTGCCGAAGGCTCCCGGGGGGGCAGAATTTGAACCCATGCCTGGTCAGCAGTATCAGCTACGATCTCAAAACGCCGTCCTCCGCTAGAGACCCGTCTCGAGACCGAGACTGGGTCAGACACACGGATGAAGACCTCACCGGGTTTGAATTAGGGAGTCGTGTCGATTAAATTAATGCCAGACCAGAAGAAGGGGAGGAAGAAGTTAAAAAGAATCAAGGCACTTCTTTAAGGCTCGATACTTACAGCAGCATCCGTGTCAATGCTTTTTCTCCTGGAGGCGGCAGGGGAGAGTCGGAAGGCTTTGAATGCCGGGGGGAATGGACCCCCTCCCGTGATGGGAGCAGGTGACCCGCACAGGGCACTCGGCGGGTCCTCAGGTGAGCTCAGGGTCAGCTTGAGATGGCCACGGGCGAAGCCAGTGGGGTGGCGACCAGTCTGTGACAGGAGGTCACAGCAGCTGACGCTTTCCGGCTGCGGGCAAACCCCCCGCTTTCTCAGCCCTAACTCCCTCTTCTGCAAACCCCCAAAAGGGAGCTCCCAGGGACAGCATTCCAGCCAAGCTCTGTCTGTCCTGCGTGCCTCGGAGACGACAAAAAGCAATTCATCATCAGCCTCCATTGTAAGGTGATAAGGAATCAGCCAGGTTTCCTTCCAGTTTGGGAGTCCCGCGAAGTGGTGACTCCATGGGTGGCTTTCCCCGCCCCCCCC